TAAATATTTCTTCCGCTTGTGTTTATTAATTTATTTAAAGATTTAGCCGGAGGTAACCTCGGTTACTGGCCATCACGATACTTAACCCTTGAGTACGGGGATCTTCCGCTTGCGTTTATTAATTTGTTTAAAGATTTGGCCGGAGGTAACCTCGGTTACTGGCCATCACGATACTTAACCCTTGAGTACGGGGATCTTCCGCTTGCGTTTATTAATTTGTTTAAAGATTTGGCCGGAGGTAACCTCGGTTACTGGCCATCACGATGCTTAACCCTTGGGTACGGGGAACGGGTCGTGACAAATGGTATCAGAGCAATGGTTCATTAAAAAAATATATATATTATTGGAGCATAGGACACATGCACATTTAAGAAGTGCGTTAGCGGGTAATTAGTACCTAAATATTATATTTAGTTCGTCGATTTAATTATATTATAATTTTCTATGATTTTCTATATATATATATATATATTTTTTGTGTGCATAATTTGTGAAGGATATTAGATATAATTTACGAATGAAAAAGAAATAAAAGATGTCAAACACCCACAAAAAAAAATTATAATATAATTAAATATACATAAAATGCAAACCAGAGGAATAAAAGTGAAATTCATTAAACCATAGAGTGTAGATGCAATTTATTATTTATTATTCATTTAAACAACTGATACTTGTAGCAAGCATAAGAAACACTCACATTAAATTGTAAATTGTAAAAAGAGAGTTAGGGGTTTAGAGTCGTAGAGGGGAGGGATTGAGAGGAAAGGGTGGTTATGATAACTAGGGATTGGGTGGGTTGTTTGATGGGGAGAGGAGAGTTGGGAGTGACGGGAGAGGGACAAAGTGGTGGTAGTGATACTCATGGTGGGAAAGGAGTTGAGGGTGGCTGGGTCGGCCATGGTAGTGGTGTCGTGTAACAATCAAGATTTTTAATTATTCTGTAAAATTTATACTAATATTATTTAATTACAGATGGGAAAATATATAATTTATTATATATTATTACGTATAATTTTGTAAAATAATAAAATTATTAAAAGTTTAAGGGTCAAAATAATAATAATAATAGGCGTGGTAGTAAAATAAATAATTAATTTTTTATTAATATATGATAAAGTATAATTTAATTAGAAATTAAATTATTTATATAATTATATTAAAATATTGAATCAAAAGGTAATTATCTTAAATATCTATTAAAGATAAGAACGAATCTATAAAATTATTAATCGAATCTTGATTTGTGCCACGTATGCGCCTTACCTCGCTATAAAAGGGAGGCGTGTCACCTGGAGAGAAAAGGAGAAAGGAAAAGAAAGGAAGAAAAAGAAAGAAAAGAAAGAGAGAAAGAAGGAAAGGAAAGACAAGAATAAGAGGAGAGGAAGGAAAAAAATAGAAGACGGTGAAAGGGTGTTTAATAGTGGAAAGAAAGAGTAAGCTATTAAAATTAAGGTGAGTTATATTATATTTTGAGTTATTAAAATGTATTTTATTTATATTTTGGCTTATCAAAATTTATTTTATACAAGTTATGTTTTATTAGTACATTTATAAAAGTTATATTTTATAAAAGTTTCAGTTACATGAATTATTTTATGAACCCTATTTGCTTAAAAGGAAACTCATGGATATGTTTGTTTTACTTTTAAAGAATATGTGGCTATGACCTTATATAAAAATATGTTTTGTGAGTACCACCATGGGAGTCTCACGCTTTGGGGGACTTAAATAACCATTGGCTAGTAAGTCCCATGTCTTGGGGGATTTAAATAACCATTGGCTTAGTGATTGGCCACTTTTTGGTCCAGTGTTTGTCGTGGATCCATTGATCAGTGTAGTGCTTGGCACTTAGTGATATACCGTGGTTATGGTTGTATAGTGATTTCCGTATTACATGTTATATGTCAAATGATTTCCGTATTATGTATGTCATGTATCAAGTTCTTTTTGGCCCAACTAATTATCCATGGTGAATTTTATGCCTTATGCTCTTAGTATAATATTTCCCACTCTGCCATGAGCTTATAGTTTTTTTACCACTTTCAGGTGACATGTCGGGACCAGCGTGTGGGGTAGGCACAAAACACTTTTATTGATGTATTTTTTTTATGTAAATATCGGCATTTTTGGTCAATACATTTTGTAATAAAAATAGACGCTCCAATGATTATTTTAGTACCCTTATTTAAATATTTCTTCCGCTTGCGTTTATTAATTTGTTTAAAGATTTGGCCGGAGGTAACCTCGGTTACTGGCCATCACGATGCTTAACCCTTGGGTACAGGGAGCGGGTCGTGACATCATGACTTAGCGGTTGGTTCACATTGGTGCTCGGTTAGATGCCTTCGATGGTTGGCTTGGCCGTCTTGAGCAGTCAGTTGCACAGACCACCCTACAACTGGATTAGATTCTTTACTTGCTTCAGTTGCAGCCGCCACATCCACCGCCGCCAGATCATTGAGTTTGTTCTTTTTTGGCCAGTCCAATTTATTTTTGGACAGTTTTTTTGCTTATTCTTTCTTTTATTTCTCTTGTTTTGTTTTATTGTCTCCCTGACAAAAAATGGAAGTATTTGGTGGTTGTTTTTGGATATTTTTGCCCATTAGTTTGTACATACTGGACACAGACACACACATATCTTTGGATTATGGGATATCTAATGCGATGGTTGTGGATTGTTTTTGTTTATGACATTCATGCATTATTTCTATTTGGATATTATTTCGTTCCACAGTTTTGTTTTCTGTGGTATTTTGATCGTTTCCACAGGTAGATTGTTCAACATGTTTCTCAGTATTTCTCAATCAAATCGGCATTTGTGGTTTTGCAGTTTTTTTTTGTGTCTGATAGGCCTAATCTTTTTGTTTGTTTGTTTGTTAGTTAGTGTGTTTAGTGCGTGTGTTGTTAGGAAAATTGTTAGAAAAATTTTGTCCAGGAATTGACAAAGGAGGAAATTGTTAGGTCCCTACTTGTTGCCAATTCTGCAAACAAGCTTAGTTTAATTTAGTTGTAATTTTTTCTTATTTTTTAGTTTTCTTGCTCGAGTGGCCAAAGTTGCGCTCGAGCGAAGTTTACACCTTCTCAGTAGTTTGGCTTGTCCGCAAACATACTAGGAGGAGTGTTTTTGCACTCGAGCATGAGTTTCAGCGCTTGAACGTAGACTTGTTTAATTGCACGCGTTTTAGTGACTCCACTCGAGCGGCAAGTCCTGTGCTCGATCGGCAAGTCCTGTGCTCGAGCGGGGTTTGCGGTCCCTATTTTCTATATACATGTGTTTAAGTCCATTTTTAGGTTTAATGCTTCCAGATCTGTTTTAAGCGCTCTAGGATTTCTTTTGGGGCTATTTTGCTAGTTTTCCTTTGATGTTTGCTTAAATATTAAACTCACATGGTTTGATAATTTGCATCAAAGGGTTGCTTGAGTGATCATCCTCAAGAGTGTTATTCTTCGGTGGAATCCGGAGATTCAAGCGTGGAGTGTTTGAAGGTGTTCGAAGCTGTGCGCAGTCGTTGAGTCGACGTGGATGTTGTAGAATCAACATCGATCTAATCAATTTTGAGACGAAGGTTGCAGTGGAAGCAATACAAATCGTTGAAAACAAATTGATAGAGTTTAGGTAATTTGTTTGGGTATTTTGTATTATTTCTTTCCTTCATAGTGAATTGATTTGTGGCGTTTCGCCCGTGATTTTTTAATCACAATTGGATGTACTTCGATAGTGGTTTTTTCCATGTAAAAATCATTTGTGTCGATTTATTATTTTTGAAACAACAATCTAAATCACTTTCATTCATGCTTAATGATTTAAATTGTTAGTTTTAATTGTTTGGGATTGGTACAATTAAATCTTGATCTAATCACGAATCACTTAGGTTTTTCAGATACTTTAGATTGAAACTATAGAATTCAAGTTAATTCACTACAACAAAACTAACTATTTACGGTATCATGTTTACAGCATGCATTAAATGCATGTCGTAATTAGTATATTCTATGATATTTTTTTTTGCAAGTCGTTAATATTTTGTTAATAATAGCATACATATTATGTAAGTCGTTAATTCATATATTTATAACATGTAAAAATATACCATAAAAAATGTATGTTTTTACGACTTATACAAATATGTCGTAAAATATTTGCACTTAAAACGACATACATTTCATGTTGTAAAATATTATATATTTACACGACAGGCTAATGAATGTCTTAAAAACTTCAAAAAAAAAAAAAAATTTAATCTAATTTTTTTATAACATACAAAAGTATGCCGTAAAAAATGTATATTTTCACGACATATAAAAATATATTATAAAATATTTACATTTAAGACAACATACATTTCATGTCGTAAAATATTAAATTTTATATTTTTTTAAATTTAATGATTTTTTAAAAAATTTTAAAAAAAAAATTCTTTCTAAGTATATACAAATTATTTGAATTTAAAAAGTACAAGAAATTTCAATCACACTCACTCAAGCCACACTCTCACTCTCACTCTCACTCACGCTCAGGTCGATCTCTCATATTCCCAAAAAATGTACTATCAAAAGGGTAATTTTGGAAAACCAACTTTTTTCAAATGCAATAAGTGTACTACCAAAAAAAGTTGGATTCCCCAAAAGGGACCAATATTTTGGGACAGAGGGAGTATAAAATATTTACATTTAAGGCAACATACATTTCATGTCGTAAAATATTAAATTTTATATTTTTTTAAATTTAATGATTTTTTAAAAAAATTTTAAAAAAGAATTCTTTCTAAGGTCAAGTTTGGCATCTACTAAATAATACAAAAAGTCAAAAAGTCACTATCTTATTTAAGTTACATCATCTTATTTAAATCACATCACCTCTCTAACACATCACATCAAATCCAACCCAAACCCAACCTATATAAACCAATAAGTCAAAAAATATATTTTTTTAGAACATCCCAAACCAACCATAAGTATATACAAATTATTTGAATTTAAAAAGTACAAGAAATTTCAATCACACTCACTCAACCCACACTCTCACTCTCACTCTCACTCACGCTCAGGTCGATCTCTCCCCCGATCTCGTCACTTCACCTCCGCCGCAGCTGCTGCATCCTCCGCCGCAGCTGCCGCTCCTCCGCCGTTGCTGCTGATTTCCGCACTCACGCTTAAGTTCGCCTCCGCCGCCCTCCACCGCCGACTCCCGCTGATTTCAGCGTCACTCGCCGCCGTCAACGTCGCTGTCTCCGATCATTGAGCCGGCGGCTTCGCCGCCGTCTGCGAGCTACATACTACCATAAATCTGCCGCCGATCTCTCTCTACTTTCTCTCTCCAGATCTGCCGTCGATCCACAGCGATCCGCCGCCGTCATAACCAGATCTGAACCACCGATCCTCCCTCTCTCTTCATCTCCGATCGTGAACCACCAATCTGAATCAGATCGTGAACCGTTGACTTCGCAGAGAACTCCGTCGCCGGCGGTGGTGTTGATCGGAGGTGCGGTGTTGATTTAGGTTTGCAAGGTAAGTTTTAAAGTATGTGCAACAACTATATTATTACTTAGGCAGTTGATGTTTTAATGGCATCAGCAGAAAGAAAAATGGCGATAAAATTACATTTGGTTGTGAATAAAATGTTAATAACTTGTCATATAATCATTGGAACCTTGTTTGGTCTTGCAGGTTATGTTTGGATTAGAGCATTCCCTGTATTATTTGAAATCGAAACACTTAGATTTGTCTGAAATTGTTGTGATTTGTTGTTTTGTTATACACCAAGTTTTACGTGTACTACACTATCTATTGTCTTCACTCAGATCATGAATGGACATGGCTGCTGCTTTTGCTGGGAATTTGCCAAATTGGTGATTCTTGCAGCCAGATTCAATAATATCTCACCATTAAAAAATATGAAATCACACCAAGGCAAACATGAACATTAACCTGATATGGAACTTCAATTTGTGACCATTCTGCTTGTAAATTATGGATATCTGTTAATATGACACGATGATTTATTAACGCCATGTTTGGATTGAGTGATTTGGAGAGAAAAAAAGAAAAGAAATGGAGAGATATCTATTTCTCTTACTTGTTTGGATAACTTAAGTGGAAAAGTGGAAATGGAGGGAAATGGAGAGAAACTTATTTATCTTATAACCCTCATTTTTAATCTTGAGACAGAGAGGCCATCTGTTGCATGGCGTTTATGAGTCAGGCTTTTCATTTTTTGATGCTTGGAAATGTACACTAGTTTTATTAAGGAAAGCATTGGTTGTATTCATAAAAACTCTAATTCATGACAGTGATGGAACTTTTATGTTTGTCAGGGTGAAACATACAAGTTGTTTTGGCCTGATCAACCTGAATTTGTGAGGATGGCAGCAAGGTTTGGGGCTACAATTGTACCATTTGCAACTGTTGGAGAGGATGACATTGCAGAAGTAAGGATATTCTTTTGTTTTTACCAGACTTCTTTAGTAGAATTGGTACTATAGTTTGATTTGACATGTGCATCCACCTAAAGGTTTTATCAGCTATTCTTTTTTTTCTTCTTCTTTAATATTGCTAGTCTAAGGGTCCTGTTCATTACCATTGTTAATTTTCTCATTTATGAAAAAGAAATGACAATGCCTCAATTTGCTAGTGATATTCAAGAAACCCTGACATGTCTACTAGTAAGAGTTGTTTTGTTAATTTAAAAAATAAAATAAAATTGGATAACATTGAAAGAAATAAATAAAATTGAATGATTTTATGATATTTACAAATTACAATAAAGTAATGGAGATGCTTATGGTGACATTTGATTTTAAATAATTTGATATACTTTGTTGTGCTAATTTCTTAATATCTTCAGCTTTTGTTGTGGCTGGTTATTAACAATTTAATATGCTTGCAGCGCTCTCGTTCTAGGAAGTCTTAGGTTCGAGTTGTTATGTCCGTTTGTTCGCCATTCGATTTTCTATGGTGCACCTTCTTTGTTCAACAGGGTGTGTTCATCAATTTGCCTCACCTTGTGTAGGACAGGGTAGTCAGTCATGTTAGATAGTTTGATATGTATTGTTTGGTCTATTTCCCAATAGCTTAAATTTTTGGAGTATCTAGTTGCTAATAATTTAGTAGTGATGATGAAGAAGAAAATGGTGTCAATAATTATTTTAACAAATCTACTAGGTAGCTCGAAATCTCACCTCCCCGAATGGCCCGAATGTGTAAGCATCCATTTTTTGGCTTTGGCCCAGTTGCCTCAAACATGTGTGAAACCCACGTGTTTTCAAAACAAAGAAAGAGAAGAGAGAGGAGGGAGAGAGAGGACCACAATTTTTGTTTGCTCTAAAATCCACCATTAGCCCCAACCTTCAAAGCTCTCTTCACCTTCCATTGTTCTTTCACCAACATAATTTCTTTAACCCATCATATATATATATAGAGAGAGAGAAAGAGAGATCATATAAACCCAAAATGGAAGGAAACAAAATTCAATTTTGATCAATCTCAGTTTTCACTCTCACCATGAAAGTTTTTTGAACCCCATCTCTCTTTTCGCATATAGTTGTATATCCATGGGGCTTTGTTCTTTGTGCTATGAACCTAGAAAAAAATCATCTTCATTTATCCTTCAAATTTAAATCCAAACCCAAAACCCCTTTGTTTTCTTCTCCTCTCTTTCACTCATCGTTCATGCACATAAATAGCTATACATATATATATATATATAGAGAGAGAGAGAGAGAGAGAGAGAGAGAGAGAGAAGGTGAGAGGCGAATTTGCAAAAGTATCATACAAATCCAAACGTGTTTGTAAATCTTCACCAAACCCAGAAATTCCAACAAACTCTACATCCTCACACTACTCCCTCCGCCGCTGCCATGAAAGAACCCAAAAGAGACTGAGGAAAGGAGCGCTCTGGTGGCGGAGAAGAAGCTACAAGTTTGTGGGCTTCGACAGCTCCGGTGTCGATTTGACGAAGCTGTTTGAAAGAGAGAGAGAGAGAGAGAGAGAGAGAGGGATTTGAGGCAGAGTCTGCGTTTGAGAGGAGGAAGAGAGGAGAGCGATTTCAGAGACATTGGGTCTGATGGAGAGAGATAGAGAGGAGAGACAAAGGGTTTATGCGCATGAGTCCAAAATGGAGTGAGAGGGTGCCAACACATTTGGGCGATTCGGGGGTTACAAATTCGAGCTACAAATCATTTTTGTTATTTTAATCATAGTAGCGATGGTTAAAAATGTGATTCTGAGACAGTGAGGAAGTGGCAACATTAGATGGTGTTGAATCCAACCTCTTCTCCCTAATCTGATAAGAGACCTTTATATGTAAGAGTTTATTACGTAGATGACTACTTAAGACAAATGAGAAGATTGTTTCAAAGTCCTTTCCGACTATAAGTCATTTTGAATAAATTTTTTCTGTTTGGTGAAGACAACAGAAAGTGATTCAGCCAAAAGTCATGCGAGCCAAAGCCCATTTCAAAGAAGCTACCTAGGTTAGCTTTTAGAATGCTTGCTGAATTGGCTTCTCGCAAGGTCAGCCGCCAACTTAAATGAATTTCTTAAATTTCCCATATTATCCTTCTTGAAACAAGTTGTCTATAATATCCTGTTATTGTGAAACCCCGTATTTTTATATAATAAAAATAATATGTATATTTTTAATTTTCTTAAATAATTATTCACAATATTTTGAATTTAATAGTCAGTATATTTTTATACTGAAAATTTATTCAAAATAAAATAAAATAAAATATTTTTGACTTTATATTATTACTCAATATTAATTTTTGAATCGTATGATATTTTTATTATATTTTTTTCTATATTTTTTTGTAATCAAATTACACTGAAATCTAATATTCTCTGTACTAAAACCCAATCAAAAATCATGGGTTTGCTCCCTAGGTTTTCTCGCATTCCACCTTCAACGTGTAATCATCTTATGTATCAAAAGACAACGTGGTGAACATGCTGACCAGGTGTTCAATTTCTTCTTCTTCTTTTTTTTTTATTTCTTTTCATTTTCTTTTATCTTCTTTTACTCTTCCTCTTTTTGCTTCTCTTCCAATTGCATAGCTCTCTCTCTCTATCAATAAAACGGAGTTATGATGAAGAAGATACAAATATTTGAACTGGTGACATTGAAACAAAATTTTTGGGTCTTTCTGTCGTGCATGCTTGCGGCTGATGGAGAAGATGAACTAAATTTTATCCAGCGTTTCTCGGCTCATGGTGCTACGGTGCATCCTAGTACATTTAGGTTAATCGAGTGGTCTTATGACTTTAGGGATGACCACCCTTAGGTTTTTCGACGTGTGGAATCCATTTTTGGGGTTAGATCTTGCAAATTCTGAGTCTAAGATGATAATCAACAACTAAAAGTTCTAAGAGAATCCAATGGCAGATCAACGATGAGATCGCGCCCGATTGATGTGAAATTTCAGCAAGACGATCATGGAGCCAGGACGATCATATCTTACGATCAGAATCATAAATCGAATTCGGACGATAAATCGTTAGCAACCTAACATAGTAAGAAAACTCTCATAACCCTCTCATTCTTTTTAATTGTTAAATATTTAGATTTGTGTTCATATGTTAAAATAGCTAAAAATTTAGATAAAATTTTGTTTATAGTTGTATGTAAATTTGTGATTTGTATGTTAAATATTTGAAAGTTATTTTTTTTTATTAGTAGCCTTAAAATCATGATATAATCTTGGAATTAGACTTGCATGTGTAGTTTGTGCCATTAAAGAGATGATTAAAGATTTTATTTGGTTTGATTATATAACTCTTCAATCTGCCAAAAACTTGTATGAATTTTTAGACAATTTTATACTCAAAATTTTGAGATGATTTCCTCTATAAAGTTGTTGAGAATGATACCTAGTTCATCCAGGAATTTTTGCAACAATTATTGAGCTTTGTACGAATTTATACAAATTTTTAATTAAATCTGAAACTGTAAGACAGATTTTACTATATGTTTGAAAATTTATTAAAAATTCTATGTTAAGCCAAATCTGGTAATTTCTAACTAAAATATGAAATTTGAGTAGTCTAGTTTCATAATAAATTTTTAGATTATGGAATTTATTTATGAATTTAAGTATGGAATTAATTTAAGAAAATGTAATAAATCTGTGTCATAAAATTTATGGGAATTTTACAGAATTATTTATAACTTATTTTTGGAAAATTCTTTCTGAAAAATGACCCAAACATATTTATTGAATATTCTGTACATTTTCACGAATTTTAGAACTGTATAAATAATTTATTCATAATTTTTATTACCTAAGGTATAACCCGACAATTTATGGACAGGTTTAAGATTATCACTTCAATTAATTATTTGGATAAAAATTAGTTATTGTGTTGGTCTAATTCATCAAATATTGTAAATTACTAATCCATGTATGGGTGTATTGTGGTTTATTTAATTTATATTGCGGTAGTCTAATCTTGTAAATTAAAAATCCATGCATGTGTGTGACTATAGTTTATTTTTTTTGTATCTATATTATTATTTCATACCATGGTTTAAATAAATTGTTTATTTAAATTCTGTACATTTATTTATTATTGTGTGACATGTGTAATATTTTATGTTGGAAACTTTAATGAGTAGGTATAACATTATTTGTGATTAAAAATTGGAATTATTTGTGATTAATATCAAAATTAACTGAAATGATTAACGGCATACACAAAGTTAACAATTGACTGTTAATACCAGTTGCTCACGGTGAGTCTTAGTTTTAAAGAGTATTCGAAATTAAGGGTTGACGGTCAATACCGGTTGTTCAGGGTGAGCCCTAGTTTTGAGAATTTTCACGTAATTTGTGTTGCGAAACTCTAAGATGGCACGAGACTTATTTGAATCTTTTTCGATATTCGGTTTTGGAATAAGGGTGGATGTATCGGTGGCACACAGGGAGGTTACGTACTCCTGGCAGACTGTTTCGTTGGGGCAGACCACGGATGCCACTACTTGGGTATATAACTCCGGGCGTGGGCATCCCTGGTAGTTACGGTTGGTAACACTTAAATATTTGACCAAGGGAGGGTTTCAAATTAACCGTTGCCATGCTTAGTAGTTGGTAAGTTAAATCTCTTTGGTGAGATTTCGAGTGTCACCTAATTTATTAAAATTATTGAAATTATTTTAATGGTTGTAATTTATGTTTACAATTATATTGTTATCTCATACTTATAATTTCATTATTTTTCTCTTAAAAAGAATGGTAGGTTGGTTATGTTTTCTTACTGTGTTGCAAAACTCATGGCATATATTTTTGTTGCCCTGACGTTTTATGCCAGGTTTTGGCGAGGAAATAATTGAAGCTGAAATGGAGTTGACGCTAACGTAGTGCCTTGGCTGACTTGAAATCATGACTAAAGTCGAATAACTTTATTATCTTATATATTAGCTATTAAGGATCTTATAATTTCATTTGATGTTGTATTTGGATAATTTTAAGTTTTTATTTAATATTATTTGAACCTTTGGTTATGTACGAGAGTTGGAATGCCCTATTAAGATGTCAACTTTTTAATTTATTAAGTTATTTTGTTTATTTAATTTCCCTTGATGTTTCAAAAAATTTGGGGCGTCACAGTTATATCATAACATTTACAAATCATACCCTATAAACGCATAAGGTGCAAAACTCTTAGAGGTGGATCTTCTGCAACACAGCGCATATCTATGCTTATATGTATCTGCAACTTGGTGAGTAGTTTTTCTTTGTTCTATGTTTTTATCCCATCTTGTTTCAAACAATATGAAAAGTGATGTTTCACATTAACAACAGGATAAAACTAAATCATTGAGAAAAAAAAAAGAAAAAAAAAAAAATTCCTATATCATTGAGACCAACGTTATAGCATAAAAGATTAGCAGCATCTAAACAGAAACATCAGAAAGGATACCTCACCATGTTTGTACTTCTTTATTTACACGTTTGCAATTACAAATGCAATCTATGGACTCATTTCAATCATTTCAGATGAGTGCTGTATGTCTTGTGTTTTATTAAATTAAAAACAGTTGAGTCTTACTTGGATATAAACACTCAAATGATTGCTTGGATATCCTTGTGTTGATTATTTGTTCTATATTGCTGTTTATATATATCATTATGGATGAAGTTGTGTTTTCTCTTTGCTGTAATTTGGTGGGCTTCATAATATGCTTGGTAATGGACTATTATTTTTGGGATTAAGGCATGTTGTGTCGAACTGAATTGTTAAGTATATCCAAGCATCTGCATGTGTGCATGTTTGTGTTTTTTTCATGCCAAGACTAAAATTTTCTCTAATTGTAGAGTCATGTTGCTATAAAAAAAAATAAAATTTAAATAACTCAAATTTGTAGATAATTCGAGCCTAACTTGATTGGACATAGAAGTGTGGGTTGAAAGTTGGGCTTATATGAATTTGGGCTATTCTTGCCCAAGTCGGGTTGAATCTAGGCAATTACTCCTCAACTCACCCGAAATTTTACATTTTAAAACTTTCTACGAAATTTATACTTTTGAAGCTAGTCAAACTAAATTTATAATGACCATCTAAAAATAAATAAATAAATATATATACTAGGAATGGGTGCATGTATTTTACTATTATTTTCTTTATTAAAATATGCATATATATATATATATTATATTTTCTGTTATGTTATAGATAATTGAATATAAGATTTTATTCCACCAAATCACTTATGATTTATCTTATAATTTATTATATTATATATATATAAAACAATACATTTTATTTTCAAATAGAACTCTTCAACCCTAAAGAGAGAGAGAGAGAGAGGGGGGGAGAAAGGAGAGAGAGTCCAGAGACTGTGGAGTCGTCTCAAGTGCAAATAGTTTACTTTTGAATGTCATAAATATATAAATTAACGACTTACATGTTATGTATGTCGTTATTGAAAAAACATTAACGGCTTGCAAAAAAAAAATGTTGTAGAATGTACTAACTACGACGTGCATTTGATGTATGCCGTAAACATGAAGCCGTAAATGGTTAGTTTTGTTCTGTTAATACACTTTCATCTTCTTATATCTTTAATTTCATGGTTTTAATAGAATTTTCATTGCTGATCAGGAAAAAAAAAAAGCAATTAAAAAACAGATTTTCATGCATGAAAAACAAAAGCAAAAGTTTGATGAAACTAAATACATAGTTCACAGAAGAGAAGAAAAACTTAATAGTCAATCAACTGCAAAACTCTCTCAATTCCGTTTACAGAAGAGAAGAAAAACTTCAAAGCTAATCAACTACTAAACTCTCTAAATTCCAAACTACTTGCTTAACACAGAACGGGATATAGAAAATATATGATGTAGATGATTTTTCAAAAAAAAAAACAAATTTTGAAAAATCTTATTTACGCATGCATATATTTTTTATGTCTGGTTTTGTGTTTTGCAGCACTAAAAGATAGAAGCACCATAGTTCACATTGACTTTGGCAATGAAGGACTACCTGGGGCATTGTTGAGTTGAAGATTGTCCACACTTGGATAAGGATCCACATAGTTGGAAAAGGCAAAATCATTCAAACCAACATGTTTGTGCAATTTTCCAAAGCTCCATGCATCGTCCTCTTGGGGCTTTCTTGTCCTAGAATCCCAACCATTCTCTTCTTTTTCCCTGTACCTTGACATGAAAGGTATGGTTGAGGCATTTGCCCTAGACCCAGAATTGAAACTTGTTGTTGGTTGCTGAGGAGGCATGGAGAAATTTGGGAGACTAGCGTAATCGGTAAACTGAGGTGGGGTTTGGAGGAATTCATTTTGGAAAGGTGATTGAGTGTGACTACTTGTTGGATAGGGATCAGTAAAATGATGCATTCCGAGTTCATCTAGGGAAGCTGAGCCAAAGAAGTCATTGCATGAGTTAATAATTAATTGATTCGACTCTCCAATGCTATTGTTATAGTCCCAATTCATTTCCGCGACATTGTTGTCATTATTAACACACGGAGCATTCTCGTCTGACAATGCTACTGCTGGAACAGAATAATTATTCAGATCATCAGGATGATCTTGTTTGGCTTTGTTCGATTTCCTATGTTTCTTATAAACCCTGCATAGAACCCAATCATCCAGCTGCAGGAATAGAATAAAGAATAAAGGATAACTTTATTAGTAAAATAAACAATACTAGTTATGAAAGTTTAGTAGTAGAGATGGAAAAGACTTTTATTTATACCCTCATGTCATTCGCATTCTTTCGCCTTCTCGGAGGGGCATTCAGTCTAAACTCATGCATAATCCAATCGGTCTTGTCACCCTTTGGTGGTTTGCCGAGATAGAAAACCAATGACTTCTTGTATCCGATGGTGTTACCGTTTAACTTGATTGGCTTATCCGCTCCTGTGGCCTTCCAATAACCATAACCGGCTTTTCTGCTTGGCCGACTTCCCTTCAGATACTTTCGATCCCTTGGTGTGAAGAAGTACCACTCCCTCTCTCCTAATGGTCCGTGCCTTTCTGTTAATTGATTTGATGATTAATGTTAAAGTTAAGTTGAGAGAAGACATCTCATACAAAGACATGTAAAAATTTACTGTAAAGATAAAATCAAGAGATATAACACATCACTAAAAATAAAAAATGTCAATTTTGAATGTTTAAAATTTCTTTATATTTTTATTATTCTGCTACAGAAGCCATGCACCATCCTATTACGTCAATTGTTTTCCATGCAAGTCAGTATGTATAGGGTTTAGATTCAATTGATTGAACCAAAAACAATAACAAAAGCAAAGAAAGAAAATAAAAGCAACAACCACTTAAAATTTCTTTTCCATGCATCTTTATCAAAAGCCTCTAGGAAACCCTAGAACATAAGAACTAAGACTATCACATGTATATGAAAAGTAACTGAAAATATATAGAAACAGAAGCAAGAAAACAAATCCAACTACCATTTGAAATTTCCATAGAACACCACGTTATTTCAAAACCCTAAAACAAAAAAAACAAAAAATCAAAGTCTCATCTTTTTAAGAGACTTTAGGAAACCTTACAACATAAGAACTAAAACCAGCACGTATGAACTAAATGTATCAATACCAAAAATCATTTAAAATTGGTAGAACATAATGTTTCTCAAAACCCTAAAACACAAAATATCAAAGTTCCAACCAACATCTTTTTTAAAAGCCTTTAGGAAATCTTAAAACATAAAAACTAAAACCAACTCCATGGATCAAAACCAACAACCATTAAAAAAATCCTAGATCATAGATCATGATGCTTTTCAAAACCCTAAAACAAAATATCATCTTTTTCATAAGCTTTTGAAGTAAAAACCTAAAACCATTGACCTAAACTAAAACTACCATATAAAAACTAAAGTAAAAACAAGCCAAAAACAAAGAGAGAGAGAGAGAGAGAGACAGAGAGAATAAAACCTGTAAAATAATCAGGATTATGACTATAAAGATTGACATCCTTGAACATATCATCTGGTAATGGCTGATCCGCGACCTTCAACTTCAAGTAATGGATGAGCTCGTGGTCAAAGGGACAGAACCTATACCCTGGTGGGTATTTTTGGGCAATGTGATGAGTTTGAGGCTCATTCAAAGCCACAATTGTACCTATTGAAGAAGAGTAATAACTGTAATTTTGCTCTTCTTCTTCATCTTGAGCTTGATGTGTAGGACTATTATCAACATTCTGGGTTCTAACCGTGGCCTCCACTTTAGGCTGGTTTTGCGTTGGAAAAGCCATTATTGGAGAAGACTCTTCTTCACTCTTCAGAAGAAGAAAACACATTGACTCCAAACCGAAAACATAATATATGATTAGATAAATCATGAGTGATTTGATAGAATAAAATCTTCTATTCAATTATCTATAACATAACCGAAAACATAATATATGATTAGATAAATCATGAGTGATTTGATAGAATAAAATCTTCTATTCAATTATCTATAACATAACCGAAAACATAATATATGATTAGATAAATCATGAGTGATTTGATAGAATAAAATCTTCTATTCAATTATCTATAACATAACCGAAAATATAATATATATATATGCATATTTTAATAAAATAAATAAATAAATAATAGTAAAATATATGCATCCATTCCTAGTATCTTAGGGCGCTTCTCCCAAAATAGTGGGTGATATAGAACAAAAAATAAATTATAAATTTATTTATTTAATTTCAGATTGTCATTATAAATTTAATTTGACTAGGCTTCAAAAGTATAATTTTGTAGAAAGTTTTAAAATGTAGAATTTCGGGGGAGTTGAGGAGTAGTTGCTTAGATTCAACTGACTTGTGCTGAGAATAGCCCAAATTCATATAAGCCCGACTTTTAACCCACACCTGTATGTCCAATAAATTGAACTCAAGTTAGGCTAGAATTATCTACAAATTTGAGTTATTTAATTTTTTTTTTATTTTTATTTTTTTAAAGTTTGGATAATCAATTTTTTAGGTTTTTAACATTTTTTTTTTTTGTGATAAAATCATTAAATAATACACCGCTATGTTCTTTGTCATTTTTGAGTGAAAATGCCACGTTTTATATTTTATTACTTATACATCTATAGTATTTATTAAGTGAAGCCACAATTTAATCTCTTCAAGCTTTTGACACCTGTAAATTATATGATAATAAAAAAAACTCCTACACCTGCATGGTTTAACTACCCTACACATTTTGTTCCCTCACTTTTTATTGTTCCACACCTACATCTTCTCTCACTTAACTGCCCAATTAGATTTTTTTACTTCATCTAAAAAAAAAATTAGAACATTTTAATTTTATGAGAACATAAACATAGCATTATATTAGTTTCACAATAGTAACATATCTTTCCATAATAATGACATACTGTTCTAGAATTTAAATAACCATAAGAAAATTGGTTCCACCATAAATATTTAGACCATTACAAATTAAAATTAAAAGCTAACAATCAAAAGTAATAAAAGAAGATATTATGCGAGTTTAAGTTTGGGTTTAGGTTTTATATGGAATAGGAGAAGATACCATCTGAGAGGATGTATAATATAAATATAAGCTATTTGTATACGGTTTGGATTGGTTCCAATCTGGAACAATAGGGTTCAATCCGGAACCGATTCGTGAATTATGGATTTTTAATTTTTCAATCAGAAACCAAATCATGGATTAAAAAAATCAATCCAAACTTACCGGATTGGACTGGACTGGATCTGATTATGGATTTCACAAATTGCTTGCTCAACCCTAATTGGTGGTGGGTTTGATTTTAATGGGTTAGGTTCTATTGTTGTTCTTATTTTAATCTTGACCATTTTGTTAATTTTGGAAGTGACTATTCCTCAAGTAAAAATATATAAATAAGCATGGTTAGGTATGTTTTATTAATACAATTAATTTTTATGCTATCCGTATGTAAAATACAGATTGAGTACTGTAAAGTTTTTTTTTTTTTTTTTCCTTCTTCTAGTTCTCTCCAAATTTCTTTTTAACTGGTGGCTCTGATTTTATTGGGTTAGGCTCTATTGTTGTTTTTATTTTTAACCTCAACCATTTTGTTAGTTTTGGAAGCTAGTGTTCCTGAGTAAAAATATAAGAATAGGCATTGCCAAGTATGTTTTCTTTATACAATTTATTTTTATGTTATTGGTATGTAAAATACGGATTGAATGCTGTAAAGTTTTTTTTCTTCTTCTAGTTCTCCCTAAATTTCTTTTTAACTGTAACTCTTTTCTTCAATTTTTCTCTATTTTTAAAAAATTTATTACTTTATTATGATGTATCATAAAATTTCTAATGAACCAATTCAGATGGTTCTATTATTCATCAATAATACTAGCCTACGTGATAACTTTTCACCACTTATTTTTAATTTAGAAATTAGAAATGCAGTTGCCTTTTTCCTGTTTTGGTGCAGGCAATGCATCATCTTTTATGGATTATTTTTTGGTTGTGATTAGAGCTAAAGATTATCGGATAGTCTGTTGCTTTCTTAATTTTTAGGCAATAGATAAGAACTTGAGAAAATATGAATAGAATTGTTCCTCGTGGGCCATCCAAACCTCCAAATTTTGGCCCAAAAAGCAAATATGAATAGAAATATAAGAACTTCAAAAATTATGAATAGAACATATGAAATATATAATAGCAGTTTAGAACTAAGGGATTGTCTAACAACACCACTGTTCTTTTACTGTAAGTATTGTGTTTTTTTTTTTTTATAGTATAAATTCTGTAATTGTTTAGTCAAAAAAAATGATATTTGTGGGGATGTATTTTCTGAATACCAACACGTGGCATGGTGACGCCGACATGTCAACCGAGGTGCCACGTGTCCTGGTAGTTATGCCGAGGTTACCTAGGCAAGGCCGAGGTGATCTCCGAAAATATCGGAATCCAAGATAAGCGGATAAGGGAGAAGAGTCCTAGAGTAAAGAGAAGACTTTGCTAAGATAAGGATAAACCTCTTAGAGAGTTTATTTTTATCTCTTGAGAAATCCAAAGTAAGCACTGAATTGGAGTCCATAGAAGTTAGGCTTCTAATAGGACTTGGATTGAGTAAACTATATAAGAGAGGCACCCCCGTGGGTCTAAGGTACGCAGTTTTATACTCAAGCTTGTGAGTTTAGCACTTGATTATCTTTGAGAGATATACTGACTTGATCGTCGGAGTGCCCCCGGGTGGAAGAGCCACCGCCGGAGCCTTTTCTTTCTGTTACAGGTTTGCTGAAGCCATCTATTCTGCCGGTGCTTTCCTACAGCTGATACTAGGCGGGCAGTGGTGGTAAGAAAATTACTCACAACAATTTGCGCCGTTTGTAGGAAGCTTAGAAGAATAGATGGCCAGTGACGGACAGAGGGAAAACATTGGGGGCGACACCCCTACTGGGAGTGGTAGACCAATTAACTTGACGTTGAAGGGGACAACCACAGTACAAAAAAATCATGACCAGGGCCACGGAGAAAAAGACGTCGGCCAGGAGGGCGACGCTTCAAAAAGGAACAAACCAAAACAAGTACTATAACGAAGATAACCTTCAGGTTTGGAGGGATAGGTGCCTACGAAGGAATGAGGAAGTAAAAGACTTGGAAAACAAGCTGGCAGACCTACAGTCAGTGGTCAACTTCATGATGCAAAACAATGTTTGCAGCCACCATACCCGCTACAAGATACGCCGATGCCAGCAATTAATACCCAGAAGGGAGGAAGAAAAGCAATCCCCGAAGCCCTCAGCACCCAGGAGTGGAAGCCACTCTCATCGACCTTCCAGGGAAGTCAGACGAGAGGAACCAAGGCAAGAAGAGTCCCGAAGGACACATCGCATGAAGGATCCAGGCCCAAAGAACATCGGCATATTCAAGGCAAGCACTCTGCTTTGACACAACCCATGGAGAAAGATGAAACGGCCACCACGAGGCCGAAAGTAATGTGCCAAAAAGATTGAAGTCCAGAGATAGCCGAGCTCCAAGGTAGAAGTAAGGAAGACTTGGAGGACTACTTCAAAAGGAGGCAGCAGAATGTTGAGCCGAGGCGACTTCAAAGTTAAGCCGAGAACACCATTCCGGTAGAACTGGACAAATTTGAAGTACCAGAGATTCAGTATGACGAGGTTCCAAATTTATGATGGTAAGTCAGACCCAACTTTCATGTTGGACTATACTGAACTCAATGGCATTATACAGTGGGAACGACCATTGCTCTGGCAAAGTATTCCCTCATCCTTTGGGGAAATTGCATCTGATTGGTTCTATAGCTACCAAAGGAAGCGTGAAGACATGGGAAGGCCTGACCGAGATGTTTGTGGCCAGGTTTGTAACAAACAAACTACACGCCCTTTGAGGGTCGATGCCCTGATGGCTTTAAGATCACCAAGGAAAGAAGGCCTTAGGGCCTACGCGAAAGATACTACGAAGTGTTCAATCGAATACCCGAATGCAACCAAGAAGTGGCGGTCGTATCTTTTCAAGAACGGCCTGAAAGATGACTGCCCACTACGGAAATCTTTGGCAAAAACACTACACCAAAAAGCATGGAAGAACTCATGGCAAGAATTGAGAAGTACGCTCAGAGCCGAGGAAGATACATCGGGAAACAAAGAGATAAAGCAGGAGAAAGGAAATGGCTCTCGCCGAAGCGAGGCCGGAGGTAACAACGAACCGACCAAACAAGAAAACAAATTGAAGGTAAAACAGGCAGTGACGACGGTGTTCCGAATTCCTATCCATAAAGTCTTGGATCAAATACGAAACCAACCCTATTTCAGAACTCCAGTAAGAACCAGGGGAATTCATGGGAAGAAACGTTGGTAGGCGTTGTGCCTACCACAATGAAGAAGGGCACCAACTCAGGGTTGCAGAGCCCTAAAAGCACACTTAGAAGACTTGGTAAGACAAGCCATCTGAGGGACCTTATTGATGAGGCCAGGACAAGAGAAGAACAGAGCAAGATTGCTCAAGCACCAGCAGCTCCACCACCTCCAGCACAGCAACCACAGGCAGGAGGGCCAAGGGTGGTTAATGTGATCCACTCAAGGGTCAACGGACAAAGTCAGGGAGAGACCCCAGAGGGTAAGGCATTTACAGCATGTCTACCAAATTGGGGAAAAAAGCCTCGGCTTGAAGAAAGCCAAGGACCAATGATAAACTTCACTGAAGCCGACCTAGAGATAGTCCAGCATCCGCATAATGATGCCTTGGTAGTATCCCTCCAAGGTTGGGGA